GTCAAGTGTATAATTAGTAGCTTTCACAATGTACTCCGGTGTATATTATGTTTTTGTAGTTTTCAAAATGGACTCTGGTGTATATTATAATTAGCTAATTGTGTGCCCTGTTGTTCAGATGCTGTAAACACGTTTGGTTTTAGCTAGCTACAGCCAAAGCTAAATGATGTTATGTTAGTCGGTCAAGTGTCTGTCCGTCCTTCCTCAGAGCTGTCCAGCCTCTGCTTGGGGAGGGTGAGCCTGCCTCTCAGCGCTGTTACAGCGGCTACGGAGAACTGGCAGTGGGCCCAGCCATCTGAGAAGTGTCAGCTCTTATTGTGAAAAGGGCTTTTTAAGGGGACGTGACATCACTTAGAATACCCTTGATTCTGTGGCAGTTTTGGGGGGGGGGGCCAACAGGGGCCAGTGCCCCTGTAACAGACACCTTGGACCCCCTATGGCCCCCCCTCTGAACGAAAAGTCTACAATAATCATATTAATATATCTTCCTTGTGACGATATGGCGTTGATGCGAAAGGCAGAACAAATGTGTCTCAACTAGTCGGATCATTTAGGACGTTACACTGCCACTGACAAGTGTTGTGCCTAGATAGTTATCCCCATAGACACGTTTTATTAGGACTTTGTTATCTTTGATAGAAAGTGTTCTCCCTGCCATGGGAGCGTCCGTGCATCCAGCGGTGAAGCCGGGCTTTCGACTTCACCTAAGTAAATGAAGTAAAATATAATCTGTGGATTGTTTAATCTATCGTTTTAGTATTGTTTTGTCAACACTTTTAAAGGCTAAAGTTAATGTTACATGTTATTGAACTTCGCATTATTCATTGCACTGAATTGAGAAGGTCTAGAGAAAACAAGCAGTTTCAGTTTCCCTCATAAAGCAAATGCAATATTATTTTGCGATAGTCTGACGATGTTATAACTGGCCACGTAGTTGATCACTTAGTCATACATGCTATTGTTTGGAAGCTAGATCTAGACAGACTCACCTTTTTCAAGTAAACTGTTGTGATGTGGACAGAGTGGACCCAAATGCAACGCTCAGGATGAATTTTTTCAGGATGGTTTTATTTAGTGGAGGTGAGGGAGAGGCGGATGCCAGGGAAACACAGGCACGGGGAACCAAGGAGACTGAGACAAGGGAGAGAGGAGGCACGGGAGAACTGACCGGGGAGGTTGGTGGAGGAGTGTGGTGGCAGACTGGCTGGGCGCGGGGAAGAGCCGGGAGGATGTTGTGGAGGAGGTCCGAGGGAAGAGGGCAGGGTGGCGAGCCCAGCTGACTTGACGGGGGACAAGGGTGAGTGAACCTGGGGGAAGACAGACAGACAGCGTTAGACACAGTGGAGACAAAGCACAGGGAAACAGAAATGACACAGAATATATGAGAACTTGAACTTGGGTATATTTCACATCATGACTAATAACTGGGGTGAATATGGAGACGTATCTAGTACATTAGAGCTTATTGTGTTCATTAAGCCGTACAAAGAAGTGTTGCATCAAAGAATGTACTGTAACTTGAGCTAAAGTTAACAGGAATGTTTTTTTGGATAATGTAATTTAATAAAACTATAATTAAATTACTGAGAAGATCATGTTACTGAAACAAATAATTGTAAGTTACTGAAACATTCTAAAACATTACATTATATTCTAAACAAGACATTTTGAAAGCTTGAACACTGCCTTTGTTTATTTTGTCGCGGATTGAATGTGCCCCTCAAAAAACAACTGACCCCAGCCAGGTCCCTTCAATAAAATTTGTCTAGAACCGCCACTGCCCTGATTGGCTGACTACACATGTGGATCGTAGTCACACACTCTGCGTAAAGACAGTGCCAAAACGATCTGTAGACATACGAGGGATCTGTAAATGCCCTGTGATCTGCAAACCATGCAACACTTGTAGGGAGAGCATTGCATAGAATGTGAAAGACTGTCTTTATACAGTGGTTTAAAAATACAAGTTAGACAATGTGCGTTTGCAAATTACGAGGAGAAAATTTAATGGGAAAAACAGCAAAACAGTAGTGACAAATGCAACACAATCAACAAACATAATATGACCCTCATGCGCAGACAAATCACTTTGCATTCATTCAAATTCTGGTTGTAAAGTAAGTCACTGATTTTTCTTTGTAAATCATAAAGAGTTTGTTTGAGGATTTTAAATCTATTTGCAGATCGTGTTTTATATTTGTAGATCATGAGGAGTTTCTTTGCAGATTTTAAATCTATTTGTAGATCTTGTTTTGTGTTTACAAATTGTGCAATGCTTTTTTGACTCATAGTATGTTCATTTTCAATGATCATTGCATTGTTTTGTCATCACAGCGAGACAATAGTGTAAAAATTCTGAGAACAAATGCGACACAATCTAACAGAACATTATCCTCACCTGCACACAAATCACTTTGCATTCATTCAAATTCTGATTTTCACATACAAATCACTGATTTCTATTTGTGAGTCATGATGTGTTTATTTGTGGATTTTAAATCTATTTGTAGATATTGTTTTACATTTGCGGGTCATGAGGAGTTTGTGGATTTTTAATCTATTTGTAGATTGTGTTTTGTGTTTACAAGTTGTAATATCTATTTGTGACATATAATATTTATGGCATTGTTTTACCTCCATACACTTACCTCTAAATTTCTCAGCCTCCTCAGACGAAATTTCAATGCCTCCTCCCACCGCAAACTTTTGTAGTAGCGCCTCCGTTGACAGACCCCTGAGTGAAATTGCTAGCTAGCTAGCTTACACTTTGCTGCTGAAAATCTCCTGTCCTGCTCAGCGAAGTTTGAGCGGCAAACTGGCCGTTTACTTTGAGTGGGCGGGGTCAGGGAGTGAATTTGGAGAAGGCATGGCCCGCCCTACTATGCCTCTGATTGGCTTAGCCTGATGATGACGTTATTACAGCAATAATTTCGAACAAACTTACAAAAAATATTTATATATCTTTGTCTTTATTAGCTGTACTCCCCAGGCCAGTTGTCCATTAATGTACCCATACTGAATATGTGTATTTTGTATTGAAGCAATGAGTTAGCATGAGTTTGCATGTTCTCCCCATGTCTGCGTGGGTTCTCTCCGGGTGTCGTGCAATATAAGACTCTTTCTTTGCTCCACTTGAAAAAAGGAAGAAAACAGATTTAGACTACCACACATTGACTGTATATAAAAATGGTTGAAATACACTGTCATTGTCATTCAATTTACCTAGCTAACCACAGCTAACACAGTTTACATGAGGGAGTGACATGCCAATCACCTGAGAGTATAGATTATATCTTTAAACCTTTATTTCTTTTTTCTACCACTGAGAGCATCTACAATCTCAAAATATAAATAAAAACATTGGCCAACAAATATGTATAATGGTCCCTGGAAAGGAAGAGTTTGGGTTTTACAGTTTGTACTGCCATTCAGTGATGCCAACTTTGGAGCAAATGAGTGACACATTTTTCATTGCTGCAGGTAACTGGGGATGAAATGTTATAAATTTGTTCTTACTTTTGATTGAAAGCACTTTGTACCCTTTAGAAGTTTAAGTAAAAAGGTGCACTTCTACCTTCTTAAAGACCGATATTGTACCTTCAAGGGAACATTCTTCAAAAGTGTACCTGTACAGAACTGTTCTTGTCTCCTACCTCCATTTTTGAGTGTGCACCCCCACCCTCCATTTTGTTCCACACTGACACTCTGACACTGTTATCACATTTGTATTCAGGATCAGCATGTTCCAAATCTTCACTGAAGCTTCATCATGTTTACCCTGAGTAAAGCATTCAGGTCCAAGACTCCATGTTTTTTATATGGTTTTACCATTCAAGCAAAAGGAAATATACTATATTTCTTATGCAGTCGTATTTGGTGACTGTTGAAAGTGTGGTGTCTCCACATTCAATTCATTTTAGTTTTTTAAGTTAGTTGGCGGTTGCCTTGAAGGGGTTGAAAGAATATAAAGAATTCTCTGTGTGGCACATTTTAAAATCAAATTAAGAAAGTGCTTATTTCATCACTGTTTGCTCCTCTGTCGGGCATGTAGCCTACGCCATCTGCTGTCACCCAAGAGATTTTAATAAAGGGCGTTTGCAAACTGCCAGATTTGTTAAAGCTGTGAGCTGCATTATAATGTAGTGTTTATGTCACAACAAAGACAATGGGGTATTGTTTAAAAACGTGCCTTCTTCCAAAATGAAATGTGCACTGGATGTTATTATGAATGAGGTGACTCACCCTTGGTCTGTCACAAGGTGGCAGAAGAGGCCCACTGGCATTTACCACCTAAAACTGGAGAACCTTTTGTGCAGCTGCTTTATCTGAGCCAAATATACAGTGCTATACTGCGCGCAGGGAAAAAGACAACTGGGCATTTTAAGGACTGAAGGTCAACGATGTCCTGGAGGTCCTAAACGTGGTCAGGTCCTGGAAAATCAGCTTAGTGCAGGCCTATGTACATAATTTTGAAATTCATGAAACAGTCTGATTGGCCAATCTGTGGTGGACACGTGAATCCTGCATGCTTTGTTTTATGTTGTATATTAAAAGTCAAAATCCCTGCAGTATGACTATTCATTGCTAATGAAATATGCAGACATTGACTTGCCCTTGGAATATATTTGTGAATGAGCTGAGGCAGAGGCGCTCTCTCCCCTCCCCTTTCTCCTTATTTGGATAAATGTCACGGATTACCTAACGAGCGAATCAGTGACTTTTTGTCATTCAGGAGGAGGTAAGACTGTCATTTTGTTGCCTTGGAGACTACAAATCAATAGCATCATGCAGTATCTCCTTGTCCATTCCCAATGAGCGGGTTCAGTGTCTGCTGTCGTCATTGGGGCTGGGGGTGGGGCGGAGGAGCTCGAGTCACCTGGGCTCTGATTGGCTCTTGTTGATAATGAGCTGCCATTGAAGTTTTTCTGACCCGTCTACAGAGGAGGTGTGTCTGTGCCCGACCGAGCGCACGCCTCTTGCATAAATACTCAACACAACTGGGCTGCTGATCAGACGCACCAATTTAAAGAGCGACGTTGTCTTCCCGTGGCTGTCAGACTCGTCGCACAGTTACACTTTCGGTTTGCGTGAGCGTACTGTGCTGCTTTGGAGAAAAAAAGGCAGTAAAAGTAGAGAGAAGTCAGTGACTGTAATTACATCCCCTAATCATTAGACTTGACAGCAGGTGTGAATTCATGTCTGTATTTTCCCCGCAGATATACTGGTGAGTACTGGCATCTTTTTCGACTTTCACATGTGTCAATGTTTAGCTTTATTTGTACTACCCCTCTAGCTATTTGGTTGAAACTACTAAATCAAGAATGAATAGCTAGATCTGTAGGTTTTGCACCTGACAGATGGGAACACTTAACTACATAGTTGTGCTTTCTTTTGCTTGGTGATTTCCCTCAGAATCAGCCACCTTTGTTCCTACACCCACTCTTGTTCCCTCTTGAGATTTTCTGTGGGGTGTTGCCCCAGAAATTGAAAATTTTAGGTCTCACTGTTGGTGTGGTGTTTGTTGTTTTTTTTTTGTTTGGAAGCAAATGGTTGTCAGACCCCAGCTTGACAAATGTTGTTGCATGTGCTAATACAGAAAGGTCATAGTGGTCACAGGTGTCTTCATTTTCTGATGTTTAGGGATAAAACGTACTTTAACACCCTTTTTCAATACCCTTTTTAAAACCAGGAAGCACACAAGCTTACTTTGCTGTATCCTTAAACATTTGAATGGAGTAAGACAAAGCTTTCATCCTTTGGTCTTTATTGCTGCAAGTGCAGTGCATGGATGCACTCTATCTATTCCTACTATCTATTATCAGTTTCTTCTGGCAGTCAGTACCTCCTAACTTCTTGATTTACTTCTCAACACAGACATAGAGTGCATTGTTAAGACTTTCTGTTCTGTTATCTGTCGAATCTTTTCCTGTCTGTAGAGAAAATATGCAAGTGTCTTTTGAAACCTTGTTTTGTGAGCACTGTTCAAACCTCAGCAGGCTTCTGCCTGTCTCTACCAGGAAGTTCAGAATCGACCTCTTTACTGTAACCACACTTGCTTTCTTGCCTGTGCTTACTTACAGTAGACCTATGCTTCTCTGTTCTGTCATGTTAGCCTACTTGTATGACAAATCCGCAAACAGGGTTTAACTTTTTTCTTAAGGGTTAGTTTTATTTCAAAGGTATGATTAGAAATGTTTGAGTATGATTTGGATCTGCATGCTACAACTTCAACTAAAGCCTTTAATGTCTGCACTGCGGTTTTCTGTGTAATCAGGAAGACTATTTTTTTTTTTCTCACAACAGTAGCTATATCAAGACAGACAGATAGCAGCATATGTTTAAAACTTGGTCCACACACATCACTAGCATTACCATAAGGCACTGGAGTGATAACTGATCCATGATGTGTTTTCAGTGGCAGACTGAACCCACAGGAATCTGGATACACTCATTCATTCCAGCACACTTCTGGGGGTCTTACTCAGTCCCTGCGCCACCCACATACCTGCAGAGCTGTGTGACTCTGCCGGTGGAAAAGCTCAGCGCTAGCACGGAACGTTAGCAGATTTGCCCTGTCGCCACACAGGCTGAGATTTATGATAGTAGTAGTAGTAAGAACTGTGGGGTGGCAGAGGGGAAACCATTTTGATAATTCAAGATGCAATCACTGGGTCAGCGCATTTGTCTGTACCTCAGTGGTTGTAATCTACAGGGTTAACAGAGAATATCACATTGCGCTAGGTTGTCATGTAGGATCACGGATTAACTTATCTTTCAAGCAACTGTAGCTTTTAAAAATATTGTATAAGTCAATTGCAGTCGGTCTGTGACAGAAGATTGTTTCCATTATTGATTAATGTGCCAACTATTCCCAATTACTTATTCATAGTCTAAGACTATTTTGCTGTCATAAAGACTTAAGAAAACCACCATATTTAATATTTTTTTTTTGTTTGTTTTTTGTTTAGAAATATTACTTCTGATAAATTGACTTATTGGCTGATAATTTCTGTCGCTCACCTAATCAGCAAATGGTTTCAGCTCTAAACTCTAGTAATCCTTTCCAATACCTGTTTTGGACATAAGGTACATGACTTGTGTGTCTTGTACCTGCTGTCCATCTGTGTCCTGGCTGCATGTGGCATTACAAAGCTAGCAGGACTAGGTTTGCATTTGCATGATCTTGACTGGGTCAGGAGGTAAAGAGGTTTACTACCAGCTTCACACATCAATCATTAGAGACGGTTTGTCACTTATCTATAGTGGTGTTGCGGGATCATCACATTCAGACATGCCCTCCAAATGTATACTCTTGGGTGTAGACTAACTAGTTGTGGTCCATGATGATCTTGTGTCATACATGTACAGGTTGGTTACTTACAGAACACTTAACGTCCACTCTAGGAGGGGCACGCAGCTCAGCCCTGCTTGACACTGGAAGCAGCAGCAGTAGTAGATGTGACTGTAGTCTGTTTGTTTCCTCTCCAGGTTGACTTGTTAGTTGTGCACCCCCACTTCCTCCTCATTGTGCCCCTTCATGTTTTATTAGGCCGATGTTCTGTTATTCTTAGCTGAGCAGGATGTTTATACGATCCCCGAACAGAAATATGACTGGCAAGGCCTGAGTGTTTATCTTTCTTTCTCTTCCCCTCTCCTCCGTTGCACAGGTTTTTACTGTCACTGTTCATACCTCCGTCCCCTCCTCTGCTGCTTTTTGCATGCTTGCCTCACCCTCTCTGCTCCCACTCAAGGATGAAATATGTTCAAGAGCAGCCCCAGCTGACATTCTGTTTTTTCCATATTTAAACCTTGCATATCCTTCAAGCCTCCTTATTTTTATCTTTGGATATCCGGGTATTGTTTAGGCAAAGTGTGCCTGTGTCGACTTGTCTGGCTGTTGGTAAAGGTTACTTTACGGTAATTCAAACAGAAGCTTCTCATTTTAGAGCCACATTGTGTGTGTGTGTGTGTGTGTGTGTGTGTGTGTGTTAAATGTCATTGCTTCAGGGGTTAATGATCTCATGACTATGTCATGCCATTCTCTTCTCCTCAGGGTGTGTGTGAAATCACTGCCAATCGCCACAGATTAGGGGGGGACTTCTTTTTGTTCTTGTTGCTGAATTTAAAGTGAGATGATGCAATTTTTGCGGAATAATGTCACTTGTGGCCACACAAGTATAATAATTGCTAAAAGGTAGAGCAGCACAAGTAGAGCCTTGAAGTCAGCAAACTGTGAATTACACAGCAATATATTTATAAAGTTTGCTAACATTAGCTGCCATGAACTGCTGGTCATACCAGACCAAGTAAGGTGGGAGCAACATCGAATTGAGCAAGAGTGCATTTTATTGCTTATGAATTCAAGTTTTTATTTCTAAGTAGAGGTATGTTATTCTCTCAAAGGTTACATAGTCTCACTTAAGGCATGACAAGTTTCATTTCAACAAGGCAATTCAAAGTGCTTTACATCTGCATAATCAGGCTTTTTACCTTCAATTGTTTTGCTTTTTTGATCTCTCACACCATAAATCCAGGTTGCTTGCGCTACAATCTTGGTAAAAGTAGTCAACGGCAAAGAAAAACATTCAGCCCTACTTGACCCTGCCCAGACGCACTGTGACCCAGATTGTGGAGAACTCTACAGAGAGAGATTCTACTTAGCCCTGTTAAGATTTGGTCTGACAATTTGTGACAGAGGAGAACCTAATTGAGTTTTTTTTTTAAATCTTCCCCAAAAACAGGACGGTAAAATTTACAGTGCAGTGTAAAGTATTAATAAAAGGATGAAATGGAAAACAAAAACCGTTAATCGGGGGGGGGTTTACCTTCTATTGTTTTGCTCTTTCGATTTCCTATCTCTCACAACAGTCACTAAAGACAAAATTAAAGATTGTATTGTTATATGTGAAGAAGAGTATTGAGTGTAAGGTGTGTGTGTGTGTGGGGGGGGGGGTTGGTATGACTCATAAATGAAGACAAAAAGATGAAACTGTGTGCTTTACTTAAAAATTCCAGAGACTGTAATTGCAGATGGAAGTAAAAGTAATGTAGGTTTCAACCCTGTTTATTTTTAAAGGGGACTTCTCTTTGTCTATCAAAACACTGAAATGATTCAGTATTTCCAGTTAGCTAATAGACTTTGAAGCAAGGGTGTTTTGATAGATGAATTAGGCTGTTGTAAAATTAATTCTGTGGAACATGTTTACATAATCATGATAGATAGAGATATGGAAAAAAATTTATATATATTTTTTTTAACAATGTTTTAATCCCTACCACAGTATAATTTTTCACCATTCTGCTGTAGCCAAAAACACATTTTTAACATAAGGCACTAGAGAGAAGTCCACATCTCTTCCAAAAAAACAAAACAAGTCCATTGAAAATGTGAGATTCTGAGTGAACCTCTTATCATGTTCTGTTTTTCTTTGTTCCATATAGCCAGTGACCATACAAACCACAAGCCTGTGGCCACTGACCACAAGGCTTTAAATAGAGAGCGTGAGAAGGACACTCAGCATCTTGTCTCAAGACAGCATCTATGTCAGTCCTGGGACCTGCTTCAAGTCGTGTGTGTGTGTATATGTGAGGGAGGGAGGGAGAGAGAGAGAGATGGATATATATACTACAACAATGCTGGATAGTGAATGCATTGAACATGGATAAACAACCTCTTGTTACTTTCATCTAAAATGGAAAGTTTGGCCAAGCTTTGATGGAACTGAGTGCATCGAGTTCCACCCCAGTCAAATACCACAGCACGCCCCCAGCACACTCTCACAATGACTGTTTTCTAGTTGCTAGTGCAAGAGCACATCATCCTGTATTCAGAAACGGCCACCTTATGCAAGCCACTGCATGAGCTGTGCAGCTTTGCAGTGCAGTAGCAGAGCATGGACTGGATGTGTTGTGGTCAAGATGTGCAGAGTATAAATAAAACTGTCGAACGTGTACAGGTAAAACAACCATGATTTCCAGACTTTAACTGTGTGTGTGCATACAGACAGTCTGATAGATGTGGTTGTTTTCTCTTTTAGATGCATGCATTCATTGGCAGATTGTCACCTAATATGTAGAATTTCAGCCCCCCATATGGACTACCATTGCACAGTATCTAATCACATAACTTCTTTTCTTTCAACCCTGCAGCCCAGTGTTAGTGCCCGGCCGAGATATGACTGAGGTGATGATCAACAGCACCCCCATGGAGGACATGAGACTCAGCCCCAGCAAGGACAGACTCTCCTTCCAGGTAGGGCACACATGCATTCATGTATGTATAACTGAAAGACTACTTCCATCCAAATACCCTACCAGAACATTATTATTTTATTTTATTTTTTTTGTCGCATGGTCATCTTGTGGCAGTCTTTATCCATTTATTATCATGACTTGGATTGACATCAACATAAGGAGGGTGTGTGTGTGTGTGTGTGTGTGTGTGTGTAAAAGAACACTTGAGATTTTTTTTCTATTTACTTTTTTTGTTTAACCTTTAAGACCGCTGCCCAAGCTGAATTGTTTTTCCTAAAATGACAATCATTTTAGGACAGTTTGACCATGTTTTACTATTATGACCAACCGGTCTGAGATGTGAATCCAATGCGGAAGTCCTTTAAACCTGCATTCTATCAAAATGGCCAGCAGAGGGTGACTCTTCTGGTTGCAAAAAGAAGTCTGGCTCCATTGGAAATAAGGGTAAAATGACCCTACTGCTCACCTGATTTATTACTTCAGTAAACACAAGGCGTTACCATGGCGACCTGTCAATCAGGCAAGAGTGACTTGTACCCACAACACTGTGTAAATTTAACCAGCCATGCTGTATTAGGAGTTGGCTGTTCACTTTCTCTGAGTACATTTAGTTTTAAGCCTATTGTTCGCTAGACAATGTTAAAATGACAGTTAACATGAATTACAGATGCACCTAGCTTAGCTAGATCCACATATAGCTGTTACCTCCACCGTCTCGTCCAAATATGGTCATGTCCAGTGCCACTGGTTGCAAAAACTCAACATGGCGGCGGTCTATCGGCCACACTTGAGGCTTCAAAATTGCAGTCCACAAACCAATGGGTGACGTCACGATAATTACGTCCACTTCTTATATAGTGTATCATTATGACGCTAACAATAGTCATTAAAGTGTAATGGCGTAATGATGTACAGATTTGAGTAGTTACGTGGAAATGCTATGCATATATGCACAATTCTACATCATTCTTTAATGTTTAAGAGGAAAATATAAAAAAGTGAGTTAAATAGAAAATAAAAACGGGCAGGTCTCTCACCTTTGCTTATCTTACTCCTTTGATTCCCCATCTTCCACTCGATTATTTTTTTTTTTTTAACACTTAGGGACTCTAACTGTAAACAGACTCTAACCCTTACTACTTAGATACGAGATGAGAGAAGCAGCCATCAGGTGGTCTTGACAAGGTCTTTGTTTTACTGTCAGCTCAAGGGCCATCTTAGAAACAAAACTACTTAAACACACAGCTGCCTGCTTATTTTAGTGTCACATATGTACCCAGGGTGGAAAGGGGGGAGGGGATAGGTGGGGCCCTATTTTTTAATACTGAAACATTCATCATGTCAGACCATTTATGATTTTGGACATAAAGTTGGCCTAATTATTAGTGGAGCTGCATCTTAACTTGTGGACCAGAGTTACTACTGATGTGGTAAGGACATGGGTATCAAAATATTCTAGCAAATTCCACCTGCCGAGGCTTTTACAACTCACAGGGCTAAAAGCCATTCCTGTTAGTTTCATACAAGACTGATATAATCTAATCATTTGTATGAAAGTTGAGAATTCATACACACAAACTGATTCACTGACCTGCTACTGCTATGTAGACATACTCTAAGAGGAAGTAGACTGACCCAGAGGAAGGCTGGCTTCCTCTCCCAACAGTTCACACCCCAGCTGTGAGTCTGAGGATGAGAGGAGCAGATTTGGGGGGGGGTGAGACAGTGCCACTTCTCCACTCTTTCATCACTGCTCTGTATTTCCTCACCATGGCCATTTGCCCAAGGTCCCAGCCACTCCATAGAGAAGCACTGTATGAGGTAGTGAGGTTGCCACCAATCACTTCCTCCGTTATGGGTGGCGGGGGCTTTGACTCAAATTCTGTGAACATTAAATTCCAGCTGCACCTTTTTTTAATCTACTGAAATGAATGTGACCTACTAATGGAGAAAGATGAGCAAATGCTTACTGAATTATCTCAAAAGGCCATGTCATGATTCAGGCGTATAGAGTGCACTCCCTCCCAACCCACCCCAGAAGATCCTAAAATAGCCAGTATTGTGCCTGGCTGACCAATGCTTCCTGCCACTGGATGTGAAACAAGTTATGACATGTGTTAGCAAGGGGTCCAAAGGCAAGGTCACTCACTGCCCAACTCCGCTTAGTGCTTACGCACAGTGAGGATTGTCGATGCAGACCAGGAAATGCAGATACATGCAGGCCTTAGACATGAACACAGACATGCTCGCACACATAATCGCACCGCTTAGCATGCTTCTATACGCATCGGTTTTTGAAGAATGTTAAAGACGCTGATGGACATACATGCTTTCATAACCTGACAAACTCTCACATTCACACTGCATTTTCATAACTTTTTTTTTTGTCTTTTTCCTCCCTTCTCATCTGTCTTCTATGGAATAAACAGACTTGGACACAGCTGGATCCCCTCGATCTCCTGTCTCAGTCCCTCTCCTGCCTCATCTAATGCTTTCTTTCCACTCGGCTCTTTGCCCAGACAGCAACATCACCCCCACCCCCAATGTCTTAGAGTGAAATATGCAGGTCTAAAAATATTCATCCACTTTATCCAAACAGCAAAAAATGCTGTTCTTGGACCAGGAGTGGCAGGCTTTTTCCCCTGGGCCTTTTTTACAGTTCCTGAGAACAAAGTCTGAGGTTGACGTCCAATCCTGCCAGGACAGGGAACGCATGTAATCTCTTGTCAGAATGTCTCTCATGCCCTTCACTTTAGATCCAAACATTTGACTATGGCGCGCTACGTTTATAAGCAGACATATCAGTCTGGATTTGCAGATAACTCTGCTGATTATGTTCTTTCCAAAATCTTTTTTACAACTCAATCTCCAAAGGAATATAAAGTGTTTTATACTAAATGCTGATTGTTATAGGGATAAATGTTTTTATTTATACATATGTCCCAGTAAAACTTCACTTTTTTGTTTGTTTTGAAATGCTATGATTATGCTCTTCTGTAATCTTTTGAGTAGTGGGTGACGTGATACTAGATGGGTTCATAAGTAGCTACCAGCTGCTTGGCACAGTGCCTTCCAAAGCATTTAGATTAAACATGATACAGCATTTAGCATAAATCTTACTAGACATGCCTCATCTACCCAAACACAGCCACTGATGTAAATCTTGTACAATGTTTTATTTTTATGTGAGCTCCTATGTGGAAAGCATCATTTCAGCAAATGCCCAGCCCACAGGAATGTGGGCTGGGCAAGAGCAGGTATGCCACTGGGATTTTAAGCAACAACTTCCCATCACAGATGTTTAGTCTTCACATTGCTTACCCCACAGTTGTTTAGCCTTGTAGTGGCGCCTACAACACTTCTACAAGGCTCAAGACCAAGTTGTGGTATTTTAGAGCCTATCGCACACTTGGCACTAATCAGAAATATGCTCACAAATAACTTCTTGGCTTACAATATGGGACAGCTGACTCTGCAGTTCAGAAATTCAATTGTATTGATATGTATGCCCAAGGTTAATGAAAGAATACTAACCAGTATTTTACCTATGTTTTTAGATATTCCCCGACCCGTCAGACTTTGACCGTTGCTGTAAGCTCAAAGATCGTCTGCCATCCATCGTAGTTGAGCCAACAGAGGGGGAAGTCGAGAGCGGGGAGCTTCGCTGGCCTCCAGAGGAGTTTCTGGTCAGTGAAGAGGAGGAAGAGGAAGTTGATCAGAATAATGGCAGTATCCCAAATGGACAGCCAATGCAGAATTCTCAGCACTAGAGGCTGTGTTGAAGCACCCATACGGTCTTGTTCCCGCTTTCTTTCTGATGGACCCTCCATTTCCCACACTGGTTCCACTGCACCTCAGCACTCAACAGACTCGACTGGCAGACACACATTCGGTGTCTCGTGATGCTGTCTCATTGCCCTTGACGCCAAAGCATCACTCCCACAAGCGACGCAATACACACAGCCAACACACTTTCTCATACACTTATTAGTCCGCCTGGACTGCAAACCCACCAAAACGGACATGTACACCTCCTAAACTACACTTACTTCCTACCACCGTGTGTCTCGGCCCAGAAAGGATGTTCTGTTGGACAGTGGCAGCTTGGTGCTCCATGGACAGCTCTTATACTGCAGGGGGGCTGTACACTGTACTTTACTCCAAAATGGCTGGCGTCATGACCCCAGAGACTTACATACTCGCATACAGAACTATTGTGGTACCCATGGGGATTATTGTCTACAGTACAATGTCCATACCTGTGTTAATTTCTGGATATGTTAATTATTGTGATTGCCACTGCTGTCCATAGATTTGTCTGTTTCTGAGAAGTGAATGTTTTTTGTCTTGTTTTTGAGAAGTAGGTGTTTTGTGTAAAATGTTGCTGGGATTTTTTTATTTTATTCCCCCCTCCCCCCTCAAGATAGGTATAAAAGGGGGGTGGTGGTTGTTGTTGTCTTTTTGGTTTTTTTTGTTTGGTTTTGTGACCTTCCATCAGGCGTTCAGTTAAAGGCGACCTGGAATAATTTTAGAGAAGTGAGCAGAAAGTGAGAAAATAAACTAGCATGCCCTGTTATGCTTATATGATAACTGTTGTACAAATGCTTGTAATGCAATGAGGGCACAGTCATTCTATGATCCTCATCACATTGGCTTACTGTAAACCTTATGACAAAACAGTACTTGGTGACAAAGCAAAACAGTAGAACATTGTGAACTAAATGTGATATGAGTAGGTTATTATTCAAAAGGGCAAAGCTGAGTAAGGGTTGACATTTTTGATAAAGCAATGTACAGACCCAATGAAGGACGTGTAAATACTTGTTCCCAATGAGCCAACCCCTGAGGCCTTGTAGTGCGCTGATCTTGTTTGTACTTGGGGTTTGGTTTACTTATTTTATTTTAGAAAGAATGACTGAGAATTGCTCTGAGCTGTACACACCTGAACTGAAAGTCTTTCCTAGTCTTCCTTCATGAAAACATACTTTTGACACCGTGAAGTTCAGGTCACGGGAGAATTCACGCTGTAGGACAGCATTCACAAATCAGTATGGCAGTTTTGTTTTTTTCCCCACAATAAAATGTGTCCTAATGTTTGCCAAACACTGTTAATGGAAAAGCTTATTTGTTCTCTGGTAGTAACTTCTGTCATTGTTTTGTATTGCAATTCTAAATGTTTTTTGTTCACTCTTAAAATCACTGCTTATTGTCTGTGGAACAAGTCTTGTCGGTCAATTTGTGGAAAAGATTTCACTTTTGTCTAAACAATGAAAGACTGTTGTACAAGCATGACTGAAATATCTGTTCTTTTGTAATTTCTCATTTGAGTGGCATTAGGGCTGTGTACAGAACATCTCTTTCTCCTGTCACCTACAGGTCCCACATTGTTTTTGTAAAGCTCAGGGAGATTAGCTGGCATCTTTCTCTCGTGGTGTGGGGTTGTGTGGTGCTGTGTGGGTTTTTTTTTTTTTTTTTTTTGGTATTTTGACCACTTTACTCTGACAATTACAGAGACTGTAAATAAACATTTGAATTTGCTATCTGACTGTGAATAACTATGAAGAGTAACTGCCATTTTTATGGTACAAGATGAGTGTTTTACTGGGGTAGTCCTCAAGCACATTTAATGTATCGTTTCCAAGAGACTTTTACTTCTGTGTTTTTGATTTTCCTTTTGCGACCCCCCCCCCCCTCACCTGCAGTGGTTAGAAAAGCAGTAGTACTTCCTGCTCGGTATCTCCCTCTCTACGAATACAGATGCCTGTATCAAATACGTATATGTAGAAGCGAGAACAGGCCACATGCTACTTCCTGTCTTCAACTTGCACACAATCTGACTGTAGTTACAACAAAATCTCATTCCTGAGCACTGAACAGCATTTATTTCTAAGTTCCTAAAAATTGCATGTTTACAATATTAAAATGATGCCATCCAGCATTTTGGAAAATGTTGGTTGGCTCTACCAATCTCTGAAGTCTTAACAATTACAGACATTGAGGATAGTACAGGGTATAAAAGCCTGTGGAAGAAACTCCTCACGCTCTACCCATAAACACTCACCACAATGATACAACACTAATAAACTGGTTCAGTGGAAAAGCTCTAATGGGGAACTGGGGGATTTACAGGAATAAACAAAGCTTTCTGATCACTGTTACAATGGAAACTTCTCAGGTGATTTGCTGCTATGTACTGTATTAGTGACCCACTAGGTCACGTTTGACTGCCCTGTACCGGGAATAGCCCATCAGAGTTGCTGCAGTAGGGCCTTTGGGGGCCAAGGGCCTGATAGATTGGCCAAGGTGGTACTCTCAGGGCCTTACAGTCACTTCCTGGAAGGGGAACAATGAACTGACATTCTATCCTGCTTCCTACTTCCTGGAAAAAATGGAGCATAAAGAGTTATAAATACCCCCCAGCTGATAATGGTCAGCAGCCGAGTGTGTGTTGGGCATAGGGAGCCAGTGGCTAGCTCTGAATAGGCTACAAAAGGAATGTCCTTTATCCTTTTCTTAACTGCTCCTTGATCTCTGCAGAAAATGTCATGAGATCATGGAAAGAAGAAATCATGAGAAGTTAGACAAGGACAACCACAGTCCTTAGAGAGACTGACTGAACTTGCATCCAGCTATACACAATCATGTGACTTTCAAATATTACTGGAGAAAGCAATATACTTCAGCTTTAATGAAGAATGGTCCTGTGTTTTGGGGGCTTACAGAGATATGAAAGGAGCCCCCTGAAGCTTATTTCCATAGCATTTTGATATTTTGAGCTGCAGCTCCTCATCTTCAGCCACTTCTCAGCTTGATCAACTCTTTTTTAAAGAATTTCTTCATGCAACTGTAAAATTTGTGATGCTATCTAATCGCCTTTGACACCAAAGCATCACCCAAACAAGAGAAGCAATACACACAAGCAACACACTTCCTGACACACTCATATATCCTCCTGGACTGCAAACCCACCAAAACACTTACTTCCTACCGTTACTTCTACTGGGTATTTTGCGTATTGTGATTTGTTTTCCTCCCACAGGTTTTGTATAAAAGATCTTTTGTGACCTTACGTCTGGCATTCACAATAAAAAGGCAACCTGTAATCATGTTAGAGAAGTGAGCAGAAAGTGAAAGAAAATAAACCAGATGTCACCTGCTATGTCTATGTGATAATTGCAATCTATAAAGGCTTGTTATCACATTGGCCTCCTGTAAGCGTTATTACAAACAGTACTTGGATGACGCAAAATAGTAGAACATTGAAAACTAAACATGTCGCTAGTAGGTTATTCTTGAAAAGGGCAAAGCTGAGAAAGGACTGAACATTTATGAGAAATCAGTTGATAAAGCAATGTGCCCACTCAATGAACAACATGTACTTATTGCCAATGAGCCAATCCCTGAGGCCTTGTAGTGCGCTGATCTTCTTTGTTCTTTGGGTTTGGTTTACTTTTTAGAAAAACATGACTGAGAATTGCTCTAAACACCGAAACTGAAAGTTGACTGTCTGACCTGTTCTTTTTAAAAAACAGCCATACTACTGACAGGTATGGCTTTGCCCCATCAAACCTAATCGAAGCATTTAAAACTGTGACCTGACAGAAATGTTAACAGAAGTTCAGCATTTATAAATACTACTGTGACAGTATTTCCATCACCTAGACAGCAGGAATTTTCAGTTACAACACCAAGAAATATCTTTCTTTAAAAGCCCTGAAAACACATTTTCTTCTTCTGACTATGAAGTCCTACACAAACACAATTTCGTGCCAACGAGTAGCAGTTTTAGTTATTTCACTTGAGAGATTTCTGTATTTTTCTCACTGGTTTTAAGTGGGCGGGGTTTAGTTTGGAAAGGGCAATATAACATGCTTCCATGCACCATCAGGATTTAGCAACATATAAATCACAATGACAATTGTCAATGAATTGAATCTGATCAAACCACGTCACACAGCACTTTGACTGAGTTTCTGAATGTTTTCCCTAGAATTAGATTTGAATACTGATACCATTCTCATTTTCATTCAGTTAATATGTAGCTACTTAGCTTAGCTTAGCTTAGCACAAAGACTGATAACAGTTAGCCTAACTCTGTCCAAAGGTATTAAAACCTGTTTACCAGTCCCCTAATTAACATGTTTTATCTTGTTTGTTTAATCCATACAAAAACTGCTAAAGCTTAAGCTAAGCTAACCCGCTAATGGCTTCAGTTTCACATTTACTGTACAGATATGAGTGGTGTCAATCTTCTTCTAACTCTCTTCAAGAAAGTGAATAAGCATAATATGTCCAAAATATAACTCCTGAGGATGTTTTTTTAATTGTATTGTTGCTTATTTAGTCATGAGTATTTTATGTTAAAAAAAATCATGATTTGAAATCAAGTTCTCACAGACTTTAATCTTTTACTGCCATATGAACATACCCTTGTGTTTTAATTAACCCCACTACCGATTTTAACAAATTATTCTCTTGTATCTCTGGTGTGAAAGTGATTTCCTTACACATCAGTTTGTTAACTACTCTGCTGGTGGTCAGAGGTGACAGCATTCATTTTGCAAATGGTAAGATGAGTACTTCGTGAGAGTCACTCACTGACATAGGGGAATGGAGTGTGTCTCGCACACCATTGTTGGCATGAGATACAGTATCTTTAAATGTTTGTGAGAGCGTGTGTGCCTGGCAATGTATTAAAACTGTTGTCAGAGCTCTGAGTAAAGTCACTGATAGCTCTTCTAGTTCATTCTTGGAATTCTTTCCAGTGGAAACAATCCCATCACTGATCCCAGTGTGTCAGCAGAGTCTGACCTGCCAACCCTTGAATTCTCCCCGACTCCCAACTATAGTTCGCATTAACGCTGTTTCACTGTCACTCCTCTACACACAGACTCACACCAACCCCTCCCTCTTCAGTCTGGTATGTCACAAGGAGAAAAATAATACTTATCCGATTAACTCTTTTTTCCACTCCCTCTCCTTATTTTACTTTTTTCTCCAATGTAGTTGTTTTCTTGTTCTTTCTATTTTTCGATCTCCCAGACTTTTATCCCATTCTGTTGTTTCAGCAAGTTTCCCATACTTACATGACAGTAGAAATACACTCATTCCCACAGTGCAGGTTATGTAACGTAAGTTAACATTTCATTATAAACATCGCCCCTGTTCTTATTACCTTGCTATTTTAAAACTGCAACCTTCCTTTATAAACCACTGAGATCTCTGTGTGTGCACTCATAACTGTGTCTGTGTCTGTTTGCGCAAAGCTTGCAAACGGGCACATGTGCTTGGAGGTTTTATGTATAACTATGTCTGTTATTATGAGTGCCATGTGCGTAAGGGAAAGATTCTTTTCCCATGGTTCCTTAAGTGTGAGAAGAAAGTAGAGCTCTCAGGACACGAAGCAAAAACTCTGCTAGTTATTTATATCCTGTCTGGAGATGGCCCACCAAGCGCAGACACATATCTGGCACTGTCAACAAGGGAAGAGCTAGAGTAAGATATGCTGAGAGGCATACAACAAGGAGGGAGGATTAATAGGTGAAGGGGTCAGGAAAGGAAAAAGAAGGATGAGGAGGAGGTAGAGTATAAAGAACACCTGCACTGTGACATGGATGAAGCACATGTTATAAAGACTGGTTGTCTCTCCAACTTAGATAAGACTTGATGAGATATGGTAAAATGCAACCATAGCAAAAATGATACTTGGGAACTTGCATAGTGTCAAAATGCCCTCATAAAATGTACTTTCCAATGACACTATAAACACCATGGAAGGGGGAAAATGCTAACAAATGCACGAGATGCCTGCAAGTTTCTCATTTCACTGTAATCTGTCCTTTACCTGAATATATTCCCGGAATATATTTGACATTTGAAAACCCCACAAGGCCATGTGATGCACCAATCAAGAACAGAGGAGCACAAAGTATTGATTGCTAATCAAAACAAAGCGTCTGCAACGTCACAGTTAATCAGAGTCAAGCATACTCAATACTCAGTATCTTAGAAGACATAATGCAACTGCACAATTAACAGCCACAACACATGTGGATGGATGAGTCTAAGCACCCTGGGACTCATTCTCTATTTAACAGGGTGATGGAAGGTACATCTCCATCTCATCCTCAAGTTCTAAGCCACAGCCTGTGCTCTCCTATAGGCTGTTGTTGATATAAATAGACTGCTTATGGCCCTGCCACTCTTGCCTTATTGCCTAAAGACCAGGGTGGAAAAAGAGAGAAAAGAGAGAGGGGATAGGCCCAGGACATAAACGCAGATACAAACACAGTGGAGTTACAGTAACGTACATGTGCTGTTACAGGTGCGAGGCCGAGACATGTTGTCAGTGTGAAGAGAAGGTGAGGTAAAAGAGAAGAAGACGCAAGTTAAATCATCCATGTCCCCTCTGTGAACTACCAAGAAAGCACAAGAGGTCATTAGAGGGAAGAATGTTTAAAAAAACAAACTCTAGATGACTTTTTTTTTCAATAAAGCCTATAAACTGTTATCAATAGAGTCCATTGAAAATAAACCAA